AATTCTTTAATCAGATTGTGGGAATACGTCTGTGGAAACAGAGTTGCATAGGGCTCAAGACACTGTTGCAATGCTCTTCTACAGGAGCTCTTTCCATATGGGTCCCTTTCATCCTCAGGTGGTCAGTGAAAACTAAGAGGTGCTTTCTCCCCACAGAACACCTATGTGCTGCTCAACAGAATGACTCTGCCTATGATAGCCCAGATCCTGAAGCTGAAGGCAGCCCCTGTACCTCTCAGATGGAGCAGCCCAAAGGGAGAAGCACTAGTGTGAACAGAAGATATCCACCATGCGTCTCTGCCCCTTCACGGACTAATTTCAGAAATGACATCAGCACAATGGATAGAAGGTACTCGGAGCCAGACCTATCCTTCCAGGACCGCCTTGAAGGCAGGATAAGGAAACAGAAGCTAAACAAAAGTGAGGACAATTTTCCAGTTCAGCAGAAACAGCTAGGATTGGAGTCACTGGAGAAACGGCTTGCAATCTTACCTTCACAATTATCAACTGACTCTCTACCTAAAACATCTTCCAGTTGCTCCCTGGAGAGCTCTGATGGTTCAGTCTTCACCAGCTCCCCAGTAGTTTCGCCCTCTAGTCCCAAGAAAACCTTTTTAAATAGGCCCCAATCCTTTTCCACCAAAGCTACCGAAGACTGCAATACACCCAACAGAGAGATCAAAAAGCATTCTGTGTCATTCTCTTTTGCAAACCGCAGGAAAACACTATTGAAAACCCAGAGCTGGGGGCCTGGAAAAAACATGTTTTTTCAGAGAGACACTTTCACAAAGAAGGAAGATCAGTTCTCCTGCAGAGTTGTACAGGAGAACAGCCTTGACAATGACAAACCATTGCCTGCGGCATATCAGCCAAGGCCCCGTTTCAGGTCAGCTGATGAAGTGTTCAGAGAGGTAGACCAGAGGAATCCTGGAAGACCACCCTCTTATGAAGAGGCCACCAAAATTCCCTCCCACAACCTCACAGTTCAAACGATGAGATTAAAGATGTCAAACCAAGACACTTTGCTGCCCCATCCATGCAGCAGCCATGCACAGGTCACAGCATACACAGCTCTAAGGGATCTACCCAGTGGCAGAGCTTCTGCAGCAAAGGATTCCAACGTGGAAACTGAAACCCTGAGCATCACTGTGGGAGTAAACTCCCGTGTGAGTTTACCTGTGACCCCAGGAGTTTACCGATTAAGAGCCATGTCTGAATCCTGTCAAAAGAAGAAACTTGAGTATGTGGCTCGGAGATGCAGCCAGCCAGTCTTTGAGGTAGATCAGATCCCGTATGCTAAGGAATCCTATGTTTAAAAAACCTATCCCTGCTCTTCTCACTGTATAAAGTAAAATATTGTAAAAATAGGCATTTTGCCTATCTGTTGTAAGATTTACTTTGAAGGACTGAGAATAAGCTAGCTCTGTGTGAACTTTTTTTTCTTGAGGCTCTCCTGAAGTATCTGTCAGCTCAATGTGTCACATTCTTTCACCTCAAGAGGTGGTACTGGGGAAGACCTGTGTAAAAATTTGAGTGTGCTGTACATAAACCATTGTGTGGGAAAACTAGTTAGTAATTGATAAACTGTTGTGTTTGTATCCTGAAAAGGACAATTAAAAGGTTGGCAGGTCCAAAACCTGTCCTACCTTCCTTTTCTTTTCTTTGTGGTCACAGACTCTATGCCATTTGTCACGTGTGTGTGCCAGGTTGATGTAATGCTTTATTGATTTTCTGCATTAAGAAGTGGGCAAGCTGTTACCCTAACTGGGGAAGAGCTGTTTTGTCATCAAGGCCACTTCAGTACTCTTTCATAAACCCCCTGTATCTGCTGTCATTCCCTCTTCCTGCTTGTTGGTGATGAGAAAGATCTGACCACTAACCAGCATTAGTGTTGTATGCCAAACCTGGATTCAGATCACTGAAGCCCTACAGGGTCATTATGGGAACGTATCTCATGTGTCCTCAGGTGGTTTTACTCTAAGTAAACAGGATGGGCTAACCAGAACGAAGAAGTATCTTCAGATTTGCTTTAATGAGGGGAAAAAAAGCCGAACAACAAAACCTCCTGTAAGGAAGCATTCTGGATTCCAGCTTTAAATATTTAAAGCTGCATCTTGTTTAGGAAAAAAAAAAACAAACAAACAAAGCAAAGCAAAGCAAAACAAAACAGAAACACCAATGGGTGGCATCTTATAACCTTGTAAAAGTGACTGGAAGTGCAATGTGTTTTTACATGTAGGAACTTGTTTTGATTAGCACTTATCTCTGCTTTTATGGCTCAGCATAGCCTTGAACCAGGAGCAGGGAGACTTGTTTTTCTTTGTTGTAACTTCACTACAATAAAACATTTTTCTGCATGAATGCTAAACTGTCCATTGTCTGTTCTTAAAATATCTGTGCCCTATATGTACTTTACCTACTTTTATACTATTCTACAGGCATTGCAGGTCTGCTTGGATGACATGGTGTATGTAAGTAGCAGGAAGGAAAGCAACTGGCCAGCAGCATCACCACTATTTTTGTTGCAAGAGGCTGCAGGCCAGATTTTGAGAACTAATTCCTCTCTGTCAGAAAAACAAGTTACATAGCTATGCATTGGCAGTTATCAGTGGGGTGGAGTGGGAGCTGCAAAGAGGTGATGCTGCTCCAGAAGCAGAGCAGATTAGAAAAGAGCATACCAGCATCTCAGGTATTATGCTTTCTGGGTGCAGGTGTACATAGGACACAGAGAAAGGGGAAGAAGAGTACCTGGCCTGACAGGAGAAATATGAAAAGGGCCATACTGTTAGGCTGAAGCTAGAGAAAATGCCACCTCAGTCACCTACGCAGTGTCACTCTGCTTCCAACTAAGCTGAATGAGAGGGCTCTGCTGCAAGCTGCAAAAGGCATTTGCCATTTTCTGGGATCTGCAACTCCCGAGTCACAGAATCACAGAACAGGTGGGGCTAGAGATCCTCCTGTCCAACCCCCCTGCTCAAGCAGGGTCAGCTAGAGCAGGTTGCCCAGAAACATGTCCAGATGGCTTTTGAGTAATTCCACTGATAAGAGACTCTGCAACACCTCTGAGAAACCTGTTTCCATGTTCGACCACTCTCACAATAAAAAAGAGTCTCCTTGAATTCAGATGAAATTCCATTTGTTTTAATTCGTGCCTGTTGTCTCAAGTCCTGTGGCAAGTGGGAATGACAGATTTCTTTTGTAAAACCACGAACATCTTGCCCTTATGGCAGAATGAGTGTGAAGAGAGAATCCGTGTGCAGTGGAAAGGCTCAGAAGCCACAGAACAGAAAACATACGCTTCAAAATGTACTCAAACAAAAACACAGCTACTTCGTTGGTGACTCATTCCTTTTGATTGTGACAAGATTAAGGATCCCAAGAAGAGGAATCGCTCATTTCCTGTCCTGTAACCACACCAGGAAACCCAGTGAGAATAAGCACGGTCAGTTCATCAGAGATGAGGAGAGTTTCTCTTTAGGTCCAAGGTGTCCTAAGGCAGACATGACAATCACACTCAGACAAGAAAGCCCATGTGGAACTTCTTGTAAGGCATTTCAAAGAATGGAGGAAAAGGAAGAGAAAGGAGCTCTATACATTGCTAACAAACAAGAGGCATGGTGAAGGAGTTGTATAAGGGTGGCTCAGTCCCCCTCACCTTGCTCTTGCATTTCTTCAAGAATTTCTTCAGGAAACACCATGGTTAAACAAAATCTGAATGTAAATGGACCCCAAAAGAGATTCACACTCTCATTGACAGGTAACTTTTGTCTTCCTTCATCTCTTTAAGACTTGCCTGATGAGTTGGCATTATTGTCATGTCCCTCCACAGAAGTGATTTTTTTTTCTACATAAACACTTAGGTGACATCAAAAGACTAGAATAACACAGCAAGAGGAGATCTTCGCTTTAGCACTTCCTCGTATGCCTTCAGCTCAGAAAACAGATTTATCATCTTAGCAGCCCACCCTGCCACATTCAAAGATCACGCCAAACCATCCTGGCCTCCAGGAGAAAGGCCTTTTAACTGCTATACCCAACAAGTGAATTATGTGAGTGCCTTTGTCAAATCTGCCTTTGACTCCTTAGCCAGAAAGATCAAATACCCATTTACAGCTGAGTCAGATGCAGATGGATTTTGGAAGGAGTTAAATGATGACAGTAAGCCTCTCCTTCTCCACAGGTTACTCCATCATCAGTATTGCATCACTTCTTTCATACATCCAATTTTCTAATTACATTTCATGAAGACACTCTAAATATACAAGGCATCCAGGACTGGAAGAGGGAAAAAAGCACTATTAAAGCAGAAAATCCAAGCCATTGCCTTGCAAGGCAATGCTGCAATGAAGGCTGTTGGTGCAGCCTCAATTCAGTACTTTGTGTTTGTGTCCTGCTGTTGTTTTCAATCACTAGATGCACTCTGTTCTTCCCCTCAGGATGCACCCGCTCTGGAGAGGAAACAAGGTTGTGCAGCAAAGGAGAAAAAATTTAATTCTGGCATTCCCCAGCATGGCTTGCTTAGCAGGGTACCCAGACATTTGACCTATGTCTATGTTCAGTTTTTTAGGATTAGAAAGAAACAACAGAAGAACAAGGGAGTTCCTCATGGAGCAACATACTCGTCTCCTTCCTTCCCTATATTGTGCACCAGGGAGTTGCAAACTCTTTTTCTCTGCCACTTGAATCAGGACAGCAACTTACAGCAAAAGAACATTGTCATCAGCTGGTGGCCAAACGTCAGTGAGGGCTGAGAGAAACACCACGCCTGCTGGTTTCACAAACATTTGGACTGAGTTGAACACAGGTGGAACACAGTTGCCTGAAGGTCAGTGTTTACAGTCCTTTGAGCATTTTAGGGCACCTTGAAGAATTTTCTAAGGCATCAAAAGTGGATGGAGGTCCAGATATTTAGGCAGCTGAATCCTTCCCTAAAATCTTCTCTGACTTTGATGGGAGCTTAGATTCCCATCTCACATGTAGATAATACATTTGGATACCTTGAATGTAGGTCTCTATAATCTAGGGCTGACACTGACTTTTACTGACAGCAGAGAAACAGTAAAACTTTGGATGTTAGGCTCCATCTAAACCTTCAAAGGAAGCACCCTTGAGTAGGTATAGGCCCTCTGCTTGCCCCCCTCCAGAGCCTGGGGCCTTCTGCTCCATCCCACCATATACAAGCCTCTTCTCTGCTCCTGACTCATCTCTGCCCCATTTTCATTGCCTCTATACTCCCAGCTAGCCTCACCTCATCAAATTACTTACCTTTTATTTAAAGAAAACCAATTTATCCCTGTGGACTTGGGGTCAAAGAACCAACTACATTTCTGTCCTCTCCATCCCTAGATCCACTTCTTTTGGTCAGCCAGTTTCAGTTTTCCTCTTCCAATTCATCCACATTTTTCCCTCATATCTGCACTGGTTGCTATTGCAATTAGCCTCACCAGTGCTCATCTAGTCTCAGTCCCACACACACACCACCTTGTTTTATTTTCTGCATGTGCAGAGAATCAAAATAAGAGAAGGAAACATCTCTGCAAGCTACAAGAGAAAACAGACAATTCTTAAAGTTCAGTGATGACCCCAATTCACAGCTGTAACTATGGAAAGCCTCTAGGATGAAAACTCCATGGACAGAGGTCCTTGACTTTATGGGATTTCAGCAAGTGGGTCTCCACATCTCTTGCTGTGGGGAAGTATGGGCTGTCAGCCACTTTGGAAGGAGATCTGGAGCTAGGTTCAGGTGAAGTAAGTCAAAATAAGCCATTTCCCCCCCACGTCTCATCGAAGTAATTCACAAGCTATGATGTTAGCAATATTTTGGGGAAATTGGTGTCCAAGGTTAGGGCTGGGCCAGCCACTAGATGAATGGCAGTTGCTTTCTATTAACCCCTCTCCTTTCCCAAAGGGGAAGAGAAAGGGAATAAGGCAGAGAGATTTATGGACTGGAAAATAAAACTGGAAGAGTTTTAATGGAAATAATAATAATTAAATGGAATACTATACAAATACATACAAAACCAATATCAAACCAAATGCCCCTGTTGGTAATTACACCACCATCACCACTGATGCTGTGGAGCAGACACTGGGGAAGTCCCAGATTTGACTCAGCAGCAGATGGGAACCAGATTCAGGAGCTGAATTTTGGCACTGGATTCTGGAACTGGATCCAGGAATGCACAGATTGGGATCAAAGGCAGAATGGACAGAGTCCTCCTTGGAGGGCAGCTATTGAAAAAGAGACCTAGACCCTTGTGAACACTCAGCTTTATACTGAAATATGATGCATATGGGATGGAATACCTCATTGGTC